AAGGGGATATACATAAATTCAGAGGTGCATGAAATAATTTCAGAGAGTGGTACATGCTATGGTGGTAAAATCGTGACAAGGAAGGGAGAAACTCCTTCAGTTATGGTGGTCAAGGAAGTCACTCTGTGGAGGTGATGTTAAAAAAAGACCTGACTAAAGAGAAAGGAAGGGCCACTCAAAAATTTGAGGAAATGGCATTCAGGAAGACAGAATAACAAATGCAAGGGCCCTGTCTTGCAAACAGGTTGTTGCATTCAAAGGACACTAAGAGGGGTGAGCTGCAGGTATTTGATCACGAGTTTTGATTACCATCTGACAACCTTCTAAGGTCGCGAGGACCTTCTAAGTAATGAAAGTGATTGCCTGACTAGATTTGGGCTTTTTAAGAATATCATGTCTGTGTTTTGGGTAACTCCCTTCTGTTTCTGTGATTTACTGTACTAGTACATCCACATTCCAGCCCAAAAAGTGGTCAGGTATGGTGTGCCTGGTCAGTCAGGTGAAGAACATGTACCAATAAGAAAGATACAAAGGACAGAGTTTACTGACTTGGAGTACAATGAATGAGAGAAGAATGTCAGGTGATGATGAAAGGTGTGAAGCAGCATGCTATTCTCAGAGAACTGTCAGGGACACAAGTCTGAACAGTTGAGAGATAAATCTGTAGTGGTCAGTTGAGCCTTAGTCATGAAAGGGCTTGTATACCAAGCCAAGGAACTTGGACTCCACCCAAAAGTGATAAAAGCCATTGGAGCAGGTTTCAAGAAAGAAACAAGATAGAAAGTTCTCTCTGAGACAGGTGATGGGATGGCAAGGACCAAGGTTAGAGGACGGGACTCTTAGGAAGCCACTGCAATTATCCTAGGGAAGAAGTGATAAGGGCTTGACTTACCGCAGCTGTATATGGATAGAAAGGGAGGAGAGTTTCCAGAGATATTAAGAAGGTAAAATAGGCAGGACTTAATGGCCAGTGGGAAGTGGGTTGAGAGAAGGATATGGAAGCAAGGAGATACCAGTTACTCTAACCAAACTGAGTTCTTCACTTAGCAACTGGGCTCTGAGCCTGCAGGTCCTCTGGCTTCCACTTCCAGGTGGGCCCATACACTCTTAAAACTTCACCACAGGTGAGACCTCTCTGGCTTTTGTCAGGTACTTCCTCCTGGACACTCCTTTTCTGTCTCCCCCTACTCTCTGTCAACCACCCCACCCAGGCCTCCAGGGTCCTCTGCCCAGGCCTGACTCCTACCCACGCCCAACTTAAGGGGTCCTGAGGCTATTATGCTGGCTTAGAGCCCACAAATCCTTTTGACAGCTGTCCCTTTGGTTACAAGAGCTTCACTCTACCTACTCTTGGGCTCCTTTCCCAGATGAGCTGAATGGGACCCAAGTGGAGCAATCAGGCTACACAGACAACAGAGATCTGAAGTGAAGTTGAAGTAGAGGGAACAGATCATTCAAAGATGAATGGATCTGCTCATGGATCAGAAGTATAAATATCATTAAAATGACCATACTGCCAAAGCAATCTATAGATTCAATGCAATTCCTATCAAAATATCAACTTCATTTTCATGGAATTAGAAAAAACAGTTCTAAATTTTGAAAAGGAGCCCAAATAGCCAAAATAATTCTAAGAAAAAAGAGCAAAGTTGGAGGTATCACATTACTTGACTTCAAATTATATTATAAGACTATAATAACCAAAACAGCATGGTGCTGGTGTAAAAATAGACCCATAGATGAATGGAACCTAATAGAGAACCCAAAAATAAAGCCACATATTCACAGTCAACCAATCTTTGACAAAGTTGACAAGAACATACATTGGGGAGGAACACCCCCTTCAATAAATGGTGCAGGGGAAATTGGATAGCCATATGCAGAAGAAAGAAACTGGACCCCTATCTCTCACCATATACAAAAGTAAACTCAATATGGATCAGGCACAGTGGCTCATGACTGTAACCATAGCACTTTGGGAGGCCAAAGTCTGAGAATTGCTTGAGCCCAGCAGTTCAAGACCAACCTGGGCAACATAGCCAGACTTCATCTCTCCAAAAAAAAAAAAAAAAAAATACAAAAAAAAAACCAAAAAAATTACCTGGGCACACACCTGTAGTCCCAGCTACTCAGAAGGCTGAGGCAGAATGATCACCTGAGCCCAGGAGGTTGAGGCTGCAGTGAGCTGTGATTGTGCCACTGCACTCTAGTCTGGACCACAGATTGAGACTCTGTCTCAAAAAATAAAAAATAAACTCAAGATGCATTAAAGACTTAAACGTGGGCCCCCTTGGGTCCCCTCCCACTGTGGGAGCTTTTCTGTCCTCTTAATAAATTCTGCTTTCTCAAAAAAAAAAGAAAAAAGACAAATGTTAGGACACAAAGCTATACAAATAGGAGGAAAAAACCTAAGAAAAACTCTCCTAGACATTGGTCGAGCCAAAGAATTTACGACCAAGACATCAGAGACACAGACCACAAAAACAAAAATAGACAAGTGCGACTTAAACTAAAAAGCTTCTGCACAGCAAAGGAAACAATCAACAAAGTGAACAGACAACCTGCAGAATGAGAGAAAATATCTGCAAACTATTTATACCACAAGGGGCTCATATACAGAATATAAAAAGAACTCCAAAAACTCAATAAAAATAATAATAATAATCCCGTTAAAAAGTGAGTAAAGGGCACTAATAGACATTTCTCAAAAGAAGACATACAAATGGCCAACAGATATGTGAAAAAATGCTCAACATCACTAATCATCAGAGAAATGCAAATTAAAGTCACAGTAAGATATCATCTTACCCTGGTCAGAATGGCTATTATTAAAAAGACAAAAAATAACAGATGTTGGCAAGAATGCAGAGAAAAGGGAACTCATATACTGTTGATGGGAATGTAAACTAGTACAACCTCTATGGAAAACAGTATGGAGATTTCCCAAAGAACTAAAAATAAAACTGCCACTTGAACCAGTCATTCCACTGCTAGTTATCTACCCAAAGCAAATCACTATATCAAAAAGGCACCTGCACAATATCACAGTAGCAATGATATAGAATCAACCTAAGTGTTCATCAAAGGATGAATGGATAAAGAAAATGTGGTATTTATACACAATGGAATACTATTCAGCCTTTTTTTTTAAAAAGAATGAAATCATGTCTTTTGCAGCAACATAAATTGAACTGGAGGACATTATCTGAAGTGAAACAAGTTAGGCACAGAAGTCAAATATGTTTTCACTCATAGTGGTGCTTAAAAAAAAGTGTACACATGGACTTAGAGACTGGAATGATGGACAATGGATACTCAGAAGAATGGGCAGTGGATGGCAGGAAACTACCTAATGGGTACAATGTATGTTACTTGGGTGATGGATACCCCAAAAGCCCTGACTTGATACAGTCTATGCATGTAACAAAATTGCACATGGACCCCATGTTTTCCAAAAAAAATTCCAATAAATTTTTTAAAATTATTTTATAAAAAATAAATGTTTAAAAAGTAAAGAAAAAAAGATGGATGGGTTATGGGTCTCTGACCAGATGATTATAACAACAATCCCTCAGCAAAGAACAGTGAGTGAGAGTCATACTGGCCCAATACAAACTCATCTCCTCAAGCCTCTAGATAAGTTTCCTTATCTATGGAGTGGTGATCACACCAGTACCCACATCAAAGCTATTGTTCCAAGATTGAAATTAGACAATGTGTGGCACTTGGTAGGCACACCGTGTTTGCTTCAGTAGTAAAAAGAGAACAGCTTCTCCCTACCTATGACTTAACGGACCCATTAGTCACTGACACCCCTCTCCCAGCAGGGTCCTTCACCACTGTCCGCTTGCAAGAGCAGCTCTCAGGTTTTATCATCACCTTGACCAGGCCAGCAGTGGAAGGAAACTGGCCTGCCTCATCAATTGTGGAGGACGTTCAGCAGCCCTCTGGTGTCTGCTCACCCGGTGGCATTCAGAGATGGCAGTTGAGTGAAAGGAGGAGGAGAGGCCAACATGGTAGTCTCCTCCTCTCCCTAGGAGTCAACAAATATGCCTCAACCAACAGTTCAGTGCATGCAGCATTCCTTGAAACCTTTCCAGAAGAATCTACAATCCAAACTCAAGACTCTGCCTTCCTACACATCACTTCATCACCTTACTGGGGCTCTCACCACCACCACCACTGTGATCCTGAGACTCCACCCACCTTCCTCCTTCAGAGGCAGCTCTCCCAGGTTAGTGGGGGACAGCTCTGTCTTCCTCGGAGCTTCCCGCGTTGAGAACTATACTGGCTGTGTAGATTGCTGCCTGAAAGCCACCAGCACCCCCACCCCATCTCCAACCTCCTCGCAGTGGTGGGCAGTGGGAGGTGACTTTCTCACCCAAGAAATGACATAACCATCTCTATCAGCGGCACTTGGCTCTCTCGCCACGAGAGGGCACTGGAGAGCAGGGTGAGAGCCTGGTCATTACTCACCAGGCTCCATCCCAGATGGCAAAAGTGTTAACAGTCACTAACTGGAGGGCCAAAGTCAAGGTGGTCGCCATGTGCAACCGGAGCTACCAAAAACATGTGTCCCGAGGACCTTCCCAACCTGAGATACACAACACCAGACTCAGCTTGGATTGCCAAGTAAAATATAGGACATCCAGTTAGATTTGAATTCAGATACACAACATAAGTATTGTATTTTAAATTTTAAAATATAAGTATTAACATAATATTAATATAAGTATTGTATTTTAAATTCCTGTTGTTGTTGTTGTCTGTTTGATTTGCTAAATCTGGCAACCCTAGCTCCAAATTCTGCCAAATGTGGACAAAAAAGGCACTAACTTTCTGCCCCTCCCTCCCAAGCCACCAGAAATGGAGGCAAGGCTTTTGTGGCAGGCTTTTTGAGGTCCACCCAAAGCCCAACCCAGTGAGATATGGAAATATTGAGGTGCTTTGGCTCCAACACGACCCCTGCAAACACACTGCCAGCTGAGAACCACAGTTATGTTCAACTATCCTTTATTAGTGGGTTTGTCTTCCCAAGCCTGGGTCAGGAACCAAGTCACATTTCCCAGCCTGCTGTGTGTGGTCTGGTCCATGCAGAGAGGATTCTAGAAGTCACAGCCATCCACCCAGTCAGAGAGGTCCTTGCCCTGGCAGTGATGCCTCCAGGCCTCCCTGAGGATGGAGAACAGGGCAGAGGAGAAACTACATCAGCCACAGACCCGTCACTGCTCAGAGGAAAACAGGAAGGAGACTGTGGGCTCTAAACCAGAAGCAGGGCAAGGAAAGGGCTTGTTCCCTGTGGCTGTCCACCAGTCCTGACCATACCACCTTGGCGGGGGGGCTCCAGCCCAAGTTACTTACCAGGAGCCCAGACCCTGGGGCTCTTGGACTATCTTCATAGCACAGATAACAGTATCCTTGAGGTTAGGATCTAACAGATCTGGGTGGGAGGCAGAGAAACACAATGAGGGAGTTGAGAGCAGAGCTAGGCATCCAGAGTGTGTGTGTCTTTCTCTCTCTCTCTCTCTCTCTCTCTCTCTCTCTCTCTCTCTCTCTCTCTCTCATACACACACACACACACACACACACACACACACACACACACACACACACACACACCCTCTCTGTCGTAAATCCAATCCTGTCCCTTAACCATTCTGTAAGCACACGTATTGCCCTATCTTTCCTCCCCTCCATCAAAAACAGCCCTCCCTCCATTCCGAAGGCCAGTCTTCTATCTGGGACCCCAAGTCAGATTCATGGAAGACCACCCTCCTCACGTGCCCCATCATTTCTCTCTCCTTGGTGAACCCAACCGGTTGTGGGAAGAGCCTCACTCAGAGACAAAGGCAGGGAGAACAAATTAAACTGGGAAAGAAGCAAAGGCTAGTGCAGGGGTCCTGACCCCAGCCAGCCCTGAACCCAGGCTTAGCTACCAGAGCAGTACATCCGGCATTTGTTGGGGGAGTCCGGGGTGAGGTTTTTGCACCACTTCCGGCTGTTGATCTGAAAGATGCCGTTGTTGGTGCTTCCATCGGCCTCATGGTCCACAGCAGCTGTGTTGAAGCCACTTGTGAAGTAAGCGAGGCAGACCCCTGCATAGGGCAGAGCATGGACCTGCAGGTTAGATGGTTAAGATCACCCCAGCCGGAGGACTTACAGCACAGGTCCCACACATTGGCTCCATCAGTCCTCTCCTGCCTCAAGTTACTCAGGGCAGGCACACGCCCACCTACTTTGCAGATGAATCCATCAAGACTCAGAGAGGCATAGCGACTTACCCAAAGTCACATACAGTTACCAAACAGCAGGGGTCAGGGCTGGACCTCAGGCCTCCTGACTCAGGCTAGCAATCTTCCCTCTTTCTCATTGCTCAGCACATAGTAGGGCCCAATAAGTATGTTGAATGAATTTACAAGAGCTGAATCTTTAGAGGCAAGATTAGGAAGACACAGGAGGGATCTATATAGGGGGCTGGAACTAGAGGGGAAAAAATGAGTCCAGAAGTGACTGCTTCACAGATGGCTATTCAAAACTGCCACCAGCTTGAAGAGCTTTACTACTGATTTGTTCTGCAAGAATGTCTGATCCTTGTGGCCATGATTAAGTTTAGGATACTAAGCTGTCCTTTCCCTTTGATTCCTGATTTTACTAAGAGGAAAGTGAAGGGGTGACTCCCATTTATCTGCCTGTTGCCACCACATCCACTGTGATCCCGAGACTCCACCCACCTTCCTCCTTCAGAAGCAGCTCTCCCAGGTTGGGGGGGACAGCACTGCCTTCCTCTGAGCTTCCTGCATACCGTTCTTTTTCTATCATCTCCTACAATCCTCATTTTACAGATGAGAGTTAAGGCTCAGAAAGTTCCCGAAGCCACAGCCCTTGAATGAGAAGGAGGGAGGGAGTGGAGGAGGAGCCAGTCACCAGCAGAGAGAGGGATTCTCACAGTCAGCCAGGCCGTATCCCCGGTATCCGTCCAGACCGAAGTCCTGTAGCACTCTGGCCAGTTCACAGCGACTGTAGACCTTGGCTTCGCTGGAGGCCAGCAGGCAGCCGAGCAGAGAGACAAGAGCCGGCAACGTGATCCCAGGCACGCCCAGCCGCTTTCTGGGAGCCCTGCTCCTGGCTTCCATGTGGGCGGCGGGGGTGGAGCCCCCACCACTCTAGCTTGGGACTGAGCTTTGGGATGGCAGGCAGCTCACCAAGCCTGGTGGTACACTCACGAAAGAAGAGCCAGGGCCCGAGTGTTACCCCTGGAAAAGGGGAGAGGGGAGAGGGGAGAAGGGGTGGGCAAAAGACCAGGCTCCAGCAGTGCATATCAGCTCTCTTAAATCAGCCATGTCCTCTAGACCCTGGCGATGGGTCCTCGAGACCATCCCTCCCCCTCCCAATCCTGCTTCACACTGCCCCAGCCCAGCAACTGAGGGAACAAGGGAGGAAACAGGAAAGAACATTAACCTATTTTGAGCTCCATACTACATAACAGGCATTATTTAGTCCTGAGGCCCAAGGTTTTACAACTAGAAAGGGGCAAAGCTTGAGGTAGGATTGAAGTTATATGACTCCAAAATGCCACTGGGGTATGACCATGAGCAGACATTTCCAGAGGGGATGGGCTGAGCCGTGTCATCCGTGTAAATCAGCCCCTCTGCCCAATTGCCGAGGGACCTCCCCTCCAGCACTGAGCCTCCACCTCCTGACCTTAGAACACTGCTGCCCTGTAGTCCCCACAGTGGAAGCTGCAAGGCAGTGCTCAAAGTCTCCCACCACCCTTTCTATTGCTTTGCAAAAAATTCCTCCCTGGAAACCCACCAGCCTGTCTGGTTTGTCCTCCATGGCTCTCACATTGGCTGTGAGAGCCAGTCCCCAAAATCATGGAGGACATAGCACCTGGGTGCCTTAGCCTTGGGGCTTCTTTGCTCTTCAGGCCTAATGACCTCCACTGTGCCTCAGCCAGCTGCTCCCATGGCCTTGTCATCCCTGCATCTTGCTGCCACCCACATCCCCCCACCTCTGCAACCTTCTACTTTCTCTCTGACCACCACTTCTGACGTGTGTTCCCACGTCTCCCGTGACCTCTTCCCCTCCACACCTGCTCTCCACTTTCACAGAGTCAAAAAGAGAAAGAGAGATGCACAACCTGGCAGATGGGTGTCCCTGGTCTCCAACTCCCAAAGGACCTAGAATGCCATTGAGGATGACAAGGTGATTAGGGGCGTGGCTTTGTAGCAAAAGTCCCCCTCTACTCCTTGCTGTATCTCTGACTTTGGACACTCCTGAGCCTAGTTTCCTTGGTCTATAAAATGAGGACATTAGTAACACCTACAATTGTTGAAAGAATCAATGAGAAAAGGCGTGGGAAGAATTTAGCTCTTTGCACCAAAAATAGGGTAGTTGTTATTTCTGTTACGAACTACAACTGGTATTACTCCTCATGCTTGTCTCTGGTCAGCTGTCTCTCTCCCATTTCCCTCAAAGGGAGTTCAAACCCCTCATTCGTGTCCACCCAGTCTCACCCTTCGCTCCCAGAAGATGACCTCACCTTCTGCTGCACTGAGAAAATCAAGATCACTTGTGGAATTTCTCCTTTTTGCCTTAGCCCCATCCCACCCGTAAGCCTGTCAGCAGCCTCATCACCCTCATCTCCACCCGGTAGCATGAGGAGGACGTGCCTCCACCCGCACTCACACCTGCCTTTCCCAGAGCTCTAGATTGCATTCTTTCCCATCTCCAAGCCTTGCTCCATGGTCATCCCTTCTCTCTCAGCATCCCCAGGACAGCTCCTCTACCTGCTCCTTCTTCCTCTGCACAGATAGATGGATGGACATACTTAGGTCTCCAGCTCCCAAAATGCCTTTCCTTGGTTCTTATCCTGATGTATGCTCACCTGTCTCTTTCCCTCTCTTCTCACCCAGAATCCTGGAGAAAATTAACATTGTCCCACCTCCCGTTTGTTTTCCAACCCAATGAGACCAGCCTCCCCACCACCACGGCTCGCCTAAAACTGCTCCACTGGGTCCAACAGGGCCCTGTCAGTTCCATCTTATGGGAACTCCAAGCTGCACTTCAGCCTTTGAATACTCCCTTCTAGAGACGCCTGTCTCTCTTGGTTTCCACAGTGCTGCCTTCTCCCAGTTCCCTTCCTCCCCCTCTGGCTATTTCTCCTCATTCTCCCATGTGGAATCCACTTCTGCCCAGACCATCAATGCTGATATGCTTTCCAGGCCCTTCTGCCTTGAGCCCTCTTCTCTTCCACTTCAAGAAACCCTCTGTGCAACCTGCTGTTGACCACCCCCTGCAGGCCCACAACTCCCACGGCATGTCTTCCTGAGACCCAAAGGCTCTCCCCCTGGATACCTCCACTTAGATACCCTGCAGTCTCCTCAAACTAAGCACTTCCAAGCAGAACAATGTTCCCACCAAAAGCTGCTCTGCCTGTAGCTTCCCTTCCTTGGTTAACACATTCTGGGCCACCCATTTATCCAAGTTAGATATCTGGATGTCATTCTTTATGCCACCTTCTTCACCACTACATCCTCTGCCCATCCCCGAGCAAGCACCCCTGAAGTCCTGTTGATTCTACCTTCCCACCAAGAATGCCATCTTTTCATAAGTCAGGCCACCATCGCAGTTTCCCTCATGGTCTTCTTCTGTCCAGTGTTGACCCTTCTTTCAAACTATTCTATACACATCCACCAAGGGGAACTTCTTAAACCAAAAGACTAGCTCTGTGACATGGTTGGATGGTCCCCACCATCGCTGCTCTTAAGCGTGATCCACAAGGCCCTTGGTGACCTTGCCCTGATACCCCCTCCCTCACTCACACTTTAAATTGTTCACTCATAGCCGGGCTTGGTGGCTCAGCCTGTAATCCCGCGCCTTTGGGAGGCTGAGGTGAGT